TCTTCCGCGTCTCTCGGCGTGATCTCGAAGATTCCTGAGAAGGGAAACGGGTGGCCTCCGTAGGCATACTCTGAAAATCAAATATCAAGCTTTGACCCTCTAATTCTACGCCGTCAAAAGTTACTTGCGATCTACAAAAACATATGGCATCTACCGTGTGTGTGCGTGCGGTCGGAAGGGAACGTGGGCGTGTATGCATGCATGTCAAGGGTACATAATAGAGATCTATATTATGTACTCTTGATGCCAAGAGAATAGATGTCTCTATTATGTACTCTTAATGCATGTGCATGTGTACAGTGTTGTCATTTAATCAAACACGCTGTCATTTTACGGGTTTCGCAATCGATTATACACGAGCATTTGCGTGGCATATCTTCCGGTTCCATTTAGCTCTAAGAAACGGTCTTGCTAGGGTTATAGAAGACCGTTTCAAACATTGGCTGCAGCTAAACACGTAGTTGTCGTATTTGCCAAGCATCGCCAAAGAATACTTCACATGTGATATACCAAATGAATTGGTATACATCCACCTTCTTGTAACCATCAGTGCGCTACGATGCGCTGGGTACTTTAATACGGGGTTATACAGCGACTTTTTGAGACGAATGCAAACAAAATCATGAACTTGCCGCCACCATTTGTATCATTCCGGCTGTGACTAAAATCCGCAATCGACCGAACAAGTTGTTTTATTGTTTTGAATTACTTTTGTCTTTAAGTTTTTAATTTTGTTTTTCACATATTTTTTGTAACTTGTGATTTTGTAATTTTCACATATTTTTTAAAATGTGCTCGTGCCTAAGTACTATAATTATAGTATCAATAACTGCATTGCGGAGTCTTTTCCGTTTCGGGTTTTCCGTGTCTCAATTCTTGAGCATCCGCAGAGAAAACATGGCGGTTAAACAATTGTAAACAAAAGTTGATATGCTGTGAAAATTAGCAGATTATACCGTGAATTAAGAGATACATTCTAGTTTATAAGCAGGACAACTGTGAGTTAACGTTCATATTTCAAACAAGGCAAGTCAAAGATGGCAATAGAATAGTTTTATTTGAGATATACAGAGTTATTCATCTAGATCTGCAGAGGTGATAGGTTTTTTGTATGGAAGGGTGTCAGGCTGTATAGACAATCAGTCGCACAGCCTCGTCGGGCTAGGTTCCATTATACTCTCAGTCTCTCACTAGTCTGGCCTCATATCATCTTCGTATTTGCCGTGCGTCGCATGCAGTCAAAAAAAAATAGATCTCGTCGCTTATATCCATTCAAAACGGCAGAACAATGAGCAGCACAGCTAGGAGAAGTCAGCTGATCATGATGAAGAAACCGCGATACCAGAAAGAAACGTACAGCCTAGAGCAGGTGTTTATCTGCCCGCTGAGCGCGGACTCTTGACGCGCAGTTCCCGCGCGACAATGCGCACGCGAACACGCGGCGAACTTCCTACGAAGTATCACAGGCCGCTGGCATCTATTGCATCCGTTACGCCAACGAAAAGGCCGGCACACGGAAATCAATTGCTGCCAAGCGAACAGTCTGCGATCTTTAGCGATCTTAAATTCATAGCAAACATATGCACACGCATCGCGCAGCGATGTTTCACGTGACTCATAGACTCAGTCACGGTGTATTGCTTATTGTTGTGGTTGGCCAGAAGCAAAGTGCTGACCCTTGAAGCATTTACTAGATGAATGACCACATGTCTGATAGAAAGCCCGCTGTTTATGTAGTGCACGTACACGTGCGTGCATCGGGCGTTGACAGTGTGCCACGTACACGCTGCGTGCATGCGTGAGTAGTAGGTGTGTGCCGTGCGCTGCTGTGTGCACGTACACGTGCCTGCGGCTTGCAGTTGCGTGTGGCTGTTCGTGCGGAACACGTACACCTGCGTGCATGCAGTGCCGCGTGTGCACGTTAACACGTGCGTGCATGAGTGTGCTGCGTGCGTCGCTGCACTACCGTGCAGTAGCGTGTGCACGTACGCTGCGTGCGTGTGCACGTACGTGGTTGTGTGTGTGCCCGTACATGTGCAGCGTGCGTGCGGTGCAGCGCGTGCTGCATGCTGCACGTATACGTGCAGTGCGTGCTGCGTGCCGGCGTGCGTGCGTGCTGCTGCATAGCGTGATGCACGTACGCGATGCTTGCATCGCGATGCGTTGCGTGCGTGCGTGTAACTTACACGTGCGTAGCATGCGTTGCGTGCAGTCCGGGTCGTGCACTTACAGTGCGTGCGTGCGCGCGTGTGTGCAGCGCGTGTGCAGCTACACTCTCGTATGCGTTGCGTGCGTGCAGTGCGTGTGTGCGTGTGTGCGTGCAGTGCGTGCGTGCGTGCGTGCTGCAGGTACACGTGTGTGCATGTGGGTAGCGTGCTGTGCGTACGTGCGTGGTGCTGCAGTACACGAGCGTATGCGTGCGTGACATGCATGTGCACGCTAATGGCGTGCGTGTGCAACGTACACGTTGCCGTGCACATCGTAGCTGCGTTCGTGTGCACGTACACGTGCGTGCCATGATTTGCTGGCGTGGTGTTCACGTAACACGTGCGTGCGTGCGTGCGTGCTTACGTTACACGTAGCGTGACGTGCTGCTTGTATCGACAAATATCACGCATCTGCTTGACTGCAAACCGTTAACGCGCATGTGACGCACTTGACGTCAATCTTACTATAATTTGCTGCGAATGTTGTAATGTATGTATGTATGATTAATGAAGGCCCCCATCAATTTGGATTCCAAATAGCGAAAATTCAACAGAAGCAATCGATGAATACAACGGACGGGTTTAAACTATACTCGTTCAAAACCGTCAAAAGCTTAAAAAAGACCAAAAAAAAAGGTAAAGATTTGTCTGAAAAAGGGCCGGCGCTTATCATTGCATTTGCAAACAGCAAAAATTTGAATACAGAGATTTTGTAAGCCCAAATATAATGTAATTAAGAAACTAAGCAGTAATTACAGTGATAAGTTAAGTGTTCAGTACTTTTTCGCATAGTTTTTCAGATAGTAGATGTACAAGTTGAATGTTGCATCAGAGCACATATCGGATTCAAGGGCGGTTTAGTGCGATCACGTATATCAGATTTCCGCTATTCAAAGCTAGGCTGCGGGTTCGTCAACGCGAGCTTCAGCTCAACATGAATGAAGATCTATCTAGCGCGCTATATTTCTAACTTGCGAGTACGTATCATCAACAAGTGACATAGACATACAATAAACATTTAGTGTGTGGTGTGTGGTGATGATGTGTTTTGTGATGATGTGTGTGGTGTGAATGTGTGTGTGCGTGTGTGTGTGTGTGTGATGTGCGTGTGCCGCGCTGATGTGTGTGTGTGATTTCACTGTGTACTTGCCAAACAAATGGTTAATGTTTACGTGTTAAGCATGATCATGTATTTCTATGATAAATTTCAACATAAAAAAAGCAACATGTGCAACACTAACTCTCCAATATAAACCACCTTACACATAACACTACCTCGTAACACATGCATCACAAGCAACTATAGCCGCGCTTAGCGCGAGGTTCCAGCTAGCAGTTTACATAACATGAAACATCGCTAATTTGCTGAGGAATCACTGAAGAAACTGCATCGTCAATCACGCGGAAACGCAGAGAAAATTCAACGACCGCGAAATATACAGTGTGTTACAACACACGCAGCCTAGGGCTATGCCCAAAGCTCCCAATCCACATTGGTTATACAAACACGTCGCCTCAAACTCCTTTTTTATGGTGCATTGTGACCTAACCCTAACACTAACACCTATAAACAAAAAACAAAATTATTTGTTGTTATTCAAATTGCTTAGCTAAATAATCATGTACAATATTTGCGTTCATGGAAAAAATACTTAAATGCGATAAAACAGCAAAATAACTTAAAAAACAGATTGGGATTCGACCAACGACATTTCAGCCGTGTATGTCTGTGCTCGAGAGCGTCGGCTTGAGGCTCATTGTTTTGCACTTACTATTATAAATTAGCCTTGACACACTGTTGCCGTCATGAGGGTTTGAGGACGTAGATTTTGTTTCAACCAAAATGGGATTTAGCGGGAGGGCACGTCACCGAGTAAAACAATCAATGAGTGGCATGCGTTGGCGTAGTCATGAGCGTAATTAGGCTTATATTAAGTTTTATTATAATTTTTCGTCGCTTTTTCAATGCCGCAAAAATTTTCACGAATGACTACGAATGACATGACTTACCAGCAAGAACGCTGTGTCAAAGTCAGTCACTGTTGCCCACGAATTCAGATTAATTCGAATTCCCAGGTAATATCAACCATATGTAAATTCCCCGTTTTGTATTTAAATTGCCAGTAGGTGGAGCGTGCGCTGCATATATTAAACTCAAACTTCGGTTTGAACAAGGACGGACAGCATCCGAGCGCGCACACACTAATGTCGGAGCAGGTAGACAATAAACGTAACACGCATGCGCGGTACGTGAGTGATTCATGGACTCAACGTGACAGCCTTCAAACCAGCAGTGAGCGTACACGTATGCAGGAAAGCACGCGCATGCGATATTCGACGCACACACACACGGCACGCACGCACGCAACGCGCCGCGGGCGCACACCCACGCCACTCACGCACGCGCTGCGCCACACACACACCCACACCGCCACGCAGCTACACGCGACACAACACACGCATCCGCGCGCACTGCGCACACAAAACAACGTGCAAAAAACGCGCGCAGGCACACTCACAATACAACGCAAAAGAGCCAAACGCAACGCAACGCACAAAGCACGCACGCACGCCACGCCACCGTCACATCACCAGTTATGTATTGCCTAGTTCGCGAGTTTTCGAATAGGACAACTGGTGACTAATCAGCAGGGAACGTACGCCTGACCACGAAGATCACGCTTAAATTTTCAGAATCACTCACTCACAGTTACTTTCTGACTAACTATACGATCTGGCCACGCGAGTGAAGCATCGCCTTTATCCGCCGGTCAGCATCATCGTCTTGTCATTCTGATGCAGTTAGCTCCGCGATCGCGTAACACTTGCTCCACACTGAGCATTCCAACAAATCAGTAAAAAT